CCCCAAAGACTCCTAACATCCTAAATTGTCTAAGCCACTGGAAGAGCTGATAGATCATAAACAGCTTAAGATACTCTGAGGGTTCAAAGCTTCTTTGGAGTATAGTCTGCCTGTAATCACTTTAAGCAATTAAGCCTTTAGGTTTTTAGAGGACTTTAAGCAAGTTATCCACCTTTAGAGCTTGGTTTAAGGGGATACCAAACTGAATTGTCCTTATTTAAGGAACTTAAAGCTCCGCATTCTGGAATCTGTTATTTACCTTCTAGAGAATCCCTACATGCTACTTGGTGTGGTTGGAGCCAGATAAGTGAGGGATACCATGGAATACTGGCAAGATTTTGAGTGAGAAGAAAACCAGTGAAAATTCAGGAAGTTCTTATTTGGTCTATTTCTGCCTTGTTTATTCCAGGCTGTTTGGCCTGGGTGGTATGCTCTTACTCACATAAACAGGCGTTTTTTTTTAATAGTGCTAAAACTACTGTGTCGTGCACTGTATGATACACAAAAATCTTACCAGTGTTGTAGGAGCAAATCTGGGTAGAGTGTTAGAAGTGCTTGTTTTCCTATCCAGGGAACTGCTGAGAGCGCCAAACTTTGCCTTGTACTGACAATACTGCTGCCTAACTAATCATGGGAGCCAGGGTTGGGCTTGCTGTGCTGATCATCACACGCCGGCAGAAGAGATAATGAGCTGCTGACAAGGATGCATCTGGAATCCGGCCGAGCTTTGCATTGCGTGAGATACCGTGTGCTGCTTCCCAAACCAGGACGATGGATTCCTGTTCCTTTGCATAGTGTCACTTTGCTCTCTGTAGCTCACTCTATATTTCCTTGATATAGTTTGAATGGTTTAAGAATGACAAGTTTATACAAAGCGAAGAAAGCACATCTTGGGGAATTCAAATCCGTTGTAAACTAACCTGGTTTTGTATGCTTGCTCTTAGTGATCCTGAATGGACAGTGTATTTGAGAAATCAGCTTTAAAGAGTAATTTCTTTCGTGGAGAAGGTAAACCTTGGCAGCATGAAAATCAGATATTCACCTAGCTGCATGCTGCACGGTGTCACTTTGCAGCTAGTCTTCTCCATGTTGGGCTTGCCACAATCTTCATTCTAGTAATGGGGTTGTGCTGATATTTTTAGATGGGATTGCAGGCAGCAATGTCTTAATCAAAATTTAATTCAGTGCTGTAGCAGACAAGTGTACTAGTGTTGAGCCTTTCCATATGGGCAGGATTTGAAGGAGGAGAGCAGTGCATTTGCCCATTGCTGCTACCTTCTTCAGTATTGGGGATGGCGTAAGTGAAAAGACAGTAAGTGCTATTTATGCCTTCCTGAACATGCATACCCTACTTGCAAATTATGGGGTTTTTTTGTCTTGCCGTCTTGCTCCTGAGCTGTATTGTTATGGTAGAGTTGGGGAACTTCTGTTTTAATCCCTCCTCCTCTTCATATCCCAATTTTGGATACGCCAGCTGGGGGGTTACCCAGATGTCTTAAGTTGGTTTGTGCTGACCTGTGCTTGGTTGATTTACTTTTGAAATACTGGTTAAGCCAATGCAGTAAATCGTATTTCAGCTTTTTTGACATGTATGAATATTTTTGTCATTAATTCCTAGAGCTTGGTCCTAGTTTCTTCAGGGCGACATATCTGAGCTGTGTAGGTAGTAATACCTCCATGCAGATGGAGAGGCTGTGCTGCCTAAGTTGTTGGTTCTTGGTACTTAACAGACTCCACTCTGAATCCTTATTCGACTTTCAGCAAAGCATGCAAGCCTGTGCCCTTCATCCTCTCCAAGCTCGTTAATAATGTGAGTGAGCTGGACACAAGCGTGAAGGAAAAGTCCATCTCGGAACAGATCCCTGCTGGGAAAGCCAGGCTGTGAGCAGCTCTGCATTTAATAAAGCTAATGGAAATTTCCAGGGAGGGCTTAGAGAGCTTAGTGACAGCCATAACAAGGAAGAAAATAAGAACTTGACTAAGTGGACTTCACTGTCCATGACTGACGCAGTGTGGAGAATTGCAATTTTTCACCCTGAAGCCCTGGGCAACCGATGTCCTCCTTACTGCATCCACATCCAAGTGGCAATGTGCTCCATGCTACACAGAGCTTCTACCTTATGCCTTGGAAAATGTAAAGTGCTTCCAGCATTTCTATGTCTAGAGTTTGATGGAGCAAAAGTTAAATGCTTACATTACCTGAAAAATATTCATTTCTCCAGTGTAAGCTCTGCTTCTGTGAAATGAATAGTCAGGCCTTGATTTGCAAATCTCCTGGGAAACATACTGTGAAAGGCTTGCTAATTTACAAAATTCAAGCAATATTTTGCAATGGGAGTTAAAAAATCTTTAGGCTTTCTAAAAAAGGAAGATTGCACTGTTTTAAATAGGTGTGGTTAAACCAGTGCAAATCTTTAAGTTTAATTGAAAATCTGATTTAAACCAAGGTAGTTGTGATTGTCACACACATCTTGTTTAAGGTGCGATTATGTGATCAAGTTTCTGATGCAGGCATGGTCTTAAAACTGGCACTTAACCCATACAATAGCAGCATTTCTTGATGAAATCTTTGCTTATTAAGAAGGGAAGTGATGATCTTCGTATAAAAGATCGTGCCCAACCAGTTCCCTCTGTTAAGTTCAGATATTTGCTTTCCTCACTGTACTTTGACACAGCCTGAAACATCTCGTCTGTAGCCTCAATCAATCATCCAGAGGCTGGAAGACCTAATGGGGAGCAAGCTGGTTATTGGTCTTAGGGCTGTGGAGAGGCAGATGTGGGTTCCAGGTCAGAGACGTGCAGATGCATGCAAAAGAGAACAAAAATCATGCTGAGGGCTTTATCGCTTGAAATCTTTTGCAAGAGGGTGGAGTAGGGTGAGTTGGTTAGCTGGTCAAGGGAAGAGTCTGCTGAAAGGTAGCAGTGAGGATGCTCGCTGCTGCAGTAGGGAGTGCCAGCTGTTTATTCCGAGCCACTTTTTTGGCCCTGCAGAGAGACTGGAATACCAGTGGTGTAGGTGGCTGTGGGGACCATGCCTGTACTTTGGGAAGCATGAATAAGTGTGGAAGGAGGGGAAGAAAAGCACGGGTCAGTTTAGTTCTCTTGTATAATAGCTGCAGATACCAAGCAAACTAGACTTTTACTGGAAATTTTGACTACCAGGTCAGAAAGTCTCGCTTGCCTGGGGAGTGTGCTACTTTGCAGACAGCAGAGTGTGACAGCTAAGTCTCAGTATATTAGGCAGGAGATGGAGCAGCCAGAGCTACTGGCACGGTTTTAGTGACAGGTTACCATCTGTCAATAAACTCTGAAGCCTTTGTAAATCAACTGCTCCCTGGCAGCTACTTTCATGGAGTATAATGCAGCGCAGGGCTAGCTCAGCACAAAAAAAAAAAAGAAGTGTGACTGATTACTTCCTGTAGACTCCATGCATGGTTTTGTTGACCTAATTTTCTCCAGCTTTCGCCCTTGGTCCCGACCTGGGGTGCTGTCACGCCAGCAGCCTAGCCCCAGGCCTCCAGCGCACGCAGCTCTCCCATTGCAGCACATCTGACCTGCAGCGTCCTCTAAGCTGGGGTTCTTGCCAGTTCTGCTGAGGCATCTCATTACAGGGACAATATCTTTTTATATGTATGTAAAACACCATGTTTGTGCCCGAGCCTTAACCAGCTACCAACTACTTGCCCTGAATCCTTCCTTCAGATTATGGGACTACCCTTAGTTCATGCTCTGAGACTGCCTGGGGTGTGATGCAAATCCAGCTCTTCAGAAGCAATTCCCTTCTGTCTGCACAGGACCTTTTTTTTTTTTTTTTTTAAATTTACTTGCCTTGTGGTGACCACTGCACAGCACTGTTAACTCTCCACCTACCACCATCAGTTGTCTGTAGTCCAGCAGCCACGTGGTGGTACACGGCACCGTTTCAAAACCCCCAGGCCAGCTCCCAGGGAGCTGGTGTGTCAGCATGGCGTGGCAAAACACTACAGAAAGTCTTTTCCATGGTAATACAGCCCATAGTGCTTCGGGAGGTGGGGACACAGCAGTAGGTGGGAGATCTCCGTACTGCCTTGGACTGCAGAGTGTGTGTCTGTCCTCTGACACTTCTGTATGGCACAGAGTAAGCTGGATTCGCTCTCATCCTCTTTGAGTCTAAGAGCTGTCGGGCCTTAGAAATAGTGGGAGATGCACTTACAGCGTTATGTTTATGGTGGTTTAGTTTCTGTGATTGCCCGTAGTCTTCAGCAATGATGTGATGATTAGCTACACGTTGTTAACCTTGCCTCTTCCTCTGAAGTGATTAGCCAGCCCTGGCTTTGCGTATCTTTTTGAGAAATACACTGTGAAAGGTTGCCAGAGCATTGGCTGTTCTGTTAAACTTACTGGCATTAGCTGTAAAATTAAAGTTTTGGACTTTTTGGACAAACACGTAGTTGATCCAGTCCAAATCCTTTTGTGGAAACTTGTTAAAATGTCCTCTACATCTGCCCTTGCTCCACAGTGACTGTCAGTGAGAGGGCTGTATAGAGATTTATTTCTAGGTAGAGTGAGAACCATTTGCAAAGAAATTAAACGTCAAATAAGAGCAGTGTTTTACTTAGTATTACCTAGTGCAGGAAATGCTGGCAGGCACCACAGACAGAATTGGCCTTCCCATTCCAATTCTTTGTTTAGTCACTTGGAGTTAGGGTAACCTGATTTTATACATACAGTTGTACGTCTTCATTTCCTGAAAATCTCTCTGCTCCTGTTGCTGTGCTTCAGTGCTAATATTGAATTGAAATGAATGGAATATTCCAGAGCAATCTGGGTAATACAGCGCTCCATGTTTGCAAGCCTGTTTACGGTGATGAGCCCTTTTGATGAAAATGTGAACTGAGCTAGACCTGCGGTTTCTATAGGGCAGGAATCAACACTGTCCTTCGTGTGGTGGGGGCGTAACGTGTGCAGGCTGGAATAGTGTCCTCTCATGCTAATATTTTTTCCTTCTTTGGTGTTTCAAGGGCCTTAAACTCTGGAGTTGAGTACCATTGGGACCAGCTGAATGAGAATGTCTTCGCTGTGCATTCCAGCAGCAGGAGCACTGAGCGGCCTGGGTGAGTCTCCTGGGTGTAGGTTAGAGAGACCTGACCCTTTCTGCTGCTTTCGTTACATCTGACAGCACCACTTCTTCTTCTTTGTTCCCTTAGCACTGGCAGCTTTAAATATGCCATTTTTCCCCCCTTTGAGACTGAGTTGGGTCACCTGGCCTGCTTCCAGCAGGTGACATTCAGTGCCCAAAAGTGCTGCCAGTGATAGTGAAGCACACGTGTCATCCATGGCCTCGGTAACATCTGTGAGCAAGCTGCGGGAGGAACATGTGGGGCTTCATGCATCAGAAACACCATGCGAAGTAAAATGGCCTTTGGAGGATAACTGCAGAACGGGTGGTTTCACAGAGATGAGTGCAAAACCATTGGGCAGTCAATGATTTTCATCCCTTTAGTTTCTGGTCATGGGACAGTTGTTTCTCAGCAATAAACTCTAAAAATAAAGCTAAATCCCTTGACAGCCCTATTGGCTGCTTCATCCAGTCTGTCCGGTGGTGCACACATTAGTTACTCTAAACACAAGGGTGATGCTGCAGTCTCTTGCTTCTTGCCCCAGTGACGAGTACTCCTGCGTAAGCTAGCTGTTCTCAGCAAGAGGGTGACAGTCTTGTTTCTGAATTGTGAGCTCCAGGATGCCAAGGAAGTTACGAGGTGGTGTACAGAGCAATGTCTGTGCTGTCCTACAGCCTTGGTCTGATTGAGGGTGAAAAATAAGCAGTAGAGATTCTTTACTCTGACATGTGAGTGGATATCGCCACTACTCTCATTTTTTGACAGCACATATCAGTCTTGCATGATGGGCTTAGGAGCAGCTTGAAGGCAGAAATACTGCTCAGGAATGAACTAGCTCAAAGAGAGAGCAAGAAAAGTGTGGCAGGTTTCAAAACCTTATGAAAAAAAGGTTGTGAATGAGGCAATCTTTCCTAGAATCTCTTTACCATTCCCAGCACTTACAGCCAGAGGTCGGTTTTGGAAGGAGCATCCAAGCATTGTCAAGATTCAGCTCTTGTAGCATCGTACACTTCAACTGTTCGATTCTGAGAAGCTAATGAGCTTTGAGGTGGTTCCTGTGTTTACTTCTGAGAACAGAGAATTTCTCTTGTCTGACTGGAACGGGCAGAAATGCCTGCTGGAGTGCATTCATGTGTGATGCTGACAAACTAGGAGGTCCAGAGGAGGGAAGGGATAGAGGCTGCTGGGAGTTAAAACCGCCCTGCCGACGTGCAGAGGGAGGTTGTGTGTGTGTTTATGGTCCTGTGCTGCGTGTCGTGTCGCCTATTCAACTCAGTGACCCCGAGACAGAGTTGTTCTGCAGGCTTAGTGATGCTGCAGGGATACCTATCTATGCCTGTCAGACACGCTGCTTCTGTGGAAGGGTGAGTGGACTATAAGACTATATATGGCTTAAAACTCAAGAGACCAGCCAGCTGCGGCTGGAGAGGGATGTCTCTGTGTGTGTGTGTGTAAATAAGTGCAGGTCAAATTCCCTCCAGCCCCATCTGCGTAGTGGCTTGCAGGTGCCTGGCTGGAGTGGAGGCAAGAAGAGGCTCAGGTGGATGCTTCAATCTTGCTGGGGCACATTGCCTCCAATGCTCCTGGTCTTATTTGTTTTTCTCTCTTTTCAGAACCAGCAGAGCCACATGGAGGACAGACAGGGACATGGGCCTGATGAATGCCATAGGCCTGCAACCCCGAAACCCCCCCACCTCTGTGACTTCGCAGGGTACCCAGACCTTGGCGCCTCAGCTGCAGAAAAAGGAGGTACAGGAGCAGGAATCCGCCTCTGCAGGGACTGGGGAAGGTAGGAGCTCAAGCAATGATTATCTGACAGAGCTTACCTGGTGAATGAAGAGTTTCCACATAGGTTCTACGTCCTATCAATGCGTTTGGACACTCCTGTTACCTCTTCAGCAAAGATTTCTCCAGCCTAATTTGCCTATAGCCAGGAGAGTGAATCCCTGTCCATATGAATAGAGAAGTTGTCTTTTTCACATGCTTTTAGAGGGCAAAATGAACTCTTCTTAACATCATTGTGTCTTTGTAGAATCAGCTGTACTGGCATCACTCCTCACAAATCTCCTGAACTCTAACCATCAGTAAGGCTGCAAACTGTTAAGAATTACCCTTTCTGCCTCTGTGTTAGAGTTTAGCTTGGTCCTTCAATCTTTGCATCTAAAACCTGTGCAGGCTTCACAAGCTCAGCATCTGGATACAAAATAAAATACTGGAAATCACTTCTCACAAAGCAGGTATGAGTATTTTGTTTAGTCTGATCGATGAAGGCTGTGATGAGCGTCCAGCTTAGCTATTTAAAAATTTCTCTAGTGTTTTCCAGTCCAGGAAGACTTACCAACATGTAAAGAGCTGGAAGCAGCTGATGTGCAATTCCTACATGATAATAAAGTCACTGATCTTTTGAAAGCATGATGATTTTGTCCAGGCTTCTTGTCTCTATACTGTAGCATGGTGCTTGAATCCAACTCTGAAGGCTTGGCTAGGAAGGAGTTGGGCTGTATGTACATTGGAAAGACAGAGAAAATCAAGGAGACAGTTTTGTTGGTTCATGATGAACCCACTTGGCTTTGGGAAGCAGCCCGTGACATGCCTGCTTGTGCCTGTATGCTTGCTTGTGCTCTGTCACTCTGAAAGATGCTTTTTGGCATGTGATTCTTCCACAGTTTCTGCTGTGCAGCATCCAGCATGTGTGATAAGGCTTTGTGTTTCTCTGATCTCAGCTCTTCTGTTCAAAGTTAAGTGGCAAATTCCTGACCTGTGGGGTTTCCCATCTGCTTATCTCAGCGGAGCTGAGATTAACCTCTTTGGAAGGTTAGTACAGTTGAGGGCGTGTGAATAAGGCTGGAATATAGGATGTCTGGACAAATTCTGAACTTGTGGGAACTGGTTCTTCCACTGAATGTGGTATGCAGACTGAGAACAGGGTACAGTGTGGGACCTTCTTGCATCAAGGCCATGATGGCTGATGCTGCAGGCTTGGGGGTCTTTGTCTGCTCTGTTAAACCAGAGGAGTTCTCCAGTGCTGCTTCTCTCTGCTGCTGTTCTGCAATCGTCTGAAGGTTTCATTATCTCATTCTTTCTAATTAAGCTTTCAATTTTCAGATCTAGATCAGGTTTTTAACTAGACCATTAATGAGATGGGGTAGGGTTGTCTTTTACCAGTGCCTTGGGCAAGGTATCTCTACAAAGAAGCAAAACATGTAGCATTTGGAAGAAAAGGAGTGTAGGTAACAAGCCTAAGACAGGCTTCTCTTGGTCTCCCTTTCTTGCTTGGAAGAAGATTGGTGGGTTCCACATCTGGTGTGATTTCTGGCTCAGATGCTGACTTATCACATGTCCCCTTGCAAGTGGCCTGCAAAATGTGCTGTCTCCTATATAAGAATCTTTAGAACAAAGGAGTTATTCCAGTATGGACGCGTGCACTGGAGATGAGCCGAGCAGTCTTACCCTGTAGTTGATCAGTTCTTATGCCAGTTGCATCCTCAGTGGAAATTCCTGTGCAAAAGCTCAAGAGCAGCTCAAAACAGGGAGCTGTCAAGCCATTAACTATTAGGAGCGTGTAGGATCCAAAAAACCAACTGCGGTCCATGATGGAGGAATAGTACAAAGACTTATCATGAAGCAGAAAGACAAATTTTCAGCTGCTGTTACCAACCCCTCAACCAGTTAGCCAGGGACTTGTGGAATCAGTGGTCTAGTTCATCCAATAATCTTTGTGCTTCACGTTACGCTTGAGCCCCATTGCGCTGCTTGTGGCGTTAAGGTTACCGTTCTTCCAGCATCATAAACTCTTGTGATGCTCCTTCAGTGTGTTCAGGCAGGCTAGATTAGATGCTGTGCTGCTTTTCTGATGGTTAAGTTGCCCACTGTATCTACCATAACTCTTTGCCTGTTGAAAGGGAAACAGTGTTTCCTAATAATAGCAGGATCTAAATGTCAGGAACACAAAGGAAAAAAAAAGGAAAAAATGTGCTACCACTAACTTGGTGTGTGACCTAGGGCAAATTATTAATCATCTACCAAATGGGAATAAATCTTCCCATAATACAGTACACCAGGGGCTGTGAAGATTAATTAGTGTTTTGTATGGGGCTTTGAAGATGTAAATCACTACGTAAAGGCTTAGCAGTATTATCAGCAGCAGAACGGATAAATCAGATGTGATTCTGAGTAATGTAAAGGAAAGTGGTTTAGTTATCACCGTGTCAGAAGGGAAAAAAAACCCCAAAACAAACCCAAAAAACCCCCTTGAATGTTTAAAAAAAAAAAAAAAAAAGAAGGAAAAAGAAAGGCTAGTGCTACCCCCAAGAGTGAGTTTCTGTCCTATGTCCTGTCAGCACCACTGCTGTGGGGAATTCTGGCTCAGGGCATTTCTTGCAGATATGTGCTTACTGTACAAAAAAAAAAAAAAAGTATGCAGAATTGCATCAGAAATCTAATTAAGCTCTGCGCGGGTATAAATAGTTTCCTTTTGCTTACTGTAAAAAAAAAAAAGTATGCAGAATTGCATCAGAAATCTAATTAAGCTCTGCGCGGGTATAAATAGTTTCCTTTTCTCATGCAAAGCTCTGCGGGGACTTTGCTGTTCTGATTATCTTTCTACCTCCTTTGGAGGAATGAGTATATGATGACTTTATTAGAAGTGAATCCCTCTAATGTCTGTATCTTTTTGTTTTGCAGCAGTTGATAGCTGCCTTGTGAACCCTGCTCCCAAGCCAGACATAAACCAAAGGAATTTAGAGCAGTTGAGAGAAAACTAGAGGAGGTACCAAGAAATGCCTAAAACAGTGTTTCAGCTGTCTCCTTTCTTTTAAGCCGACAGACGTAGTGGAAATAGTGATGGAGTTGTAACTTTGAGGCACTCTTAATTAGAAACAATCTGTTGGGAGTTACACTATGCTTTCCCTTGCAAATGGACAGGCATGATGGGGGAGGGATCTGTATTCAGCTGGCAAATTAAATCTCACTTAAAAACCAACAAAAATTGCTAATGAGATTTAACGGCCCAAAGCTTTAACCTTTAGCAATTGTTATTCCCAATCCAGACTGGGTCAGGCTGTGGCTGCCACTTGTTCAGGCTGCTGGATCTGTGGAGTAGGGTGCAAGTGGCAGTAACTGTCAGGGACTGCGACTGTGCAAAAGGTGCTGCAGGCTGAGGGAAAGGGACCTTTGCAGAGCTGCAGGACGCTTGTTTGATTGTCCACCCATGCTGTCCCCTGGCTATTGACAGTATATCAATGCATCTTTCAGGCAATCCGGTTGTTTAAAAAGAAAAAAATAACCCACACTCAAAAAAACTTGATGGAAATAGCTGAAAGGCAATTGTCATCTCAATTCCGATCATCTGCCTTGTCTTTGGGGCTTAAAATTCAGATAGCTAGCTCCGTGCTTCACTGTGCAAGTAGGCACGTGTTACGAACTACTGAAATTGTGGCCATCGGGAGACTGGCTGTCAGTGGATTGCTACTTTGCCTGTCTTTGGGGGAGTGAATACTGTCATGCCATATACAGGGGGTTTTTTTAACCTATTTGGTTGAAGTGTTTCTCACCAGCCAGTACAAATTCCTGTCGTGTCCAACTGCTTTCAGAGGTTGCAGCAGATACTTTTGAGAGGGAAAAGGGTTGTGAAATGAAGGCTTGGGTTTGTGGGATTCAGTCTGTTCAAACTGTTAGTAATGAAAAGATAGCACATGCAAGTGAAGCTTTCCTGGTATAAGCAAAGCATCCTGAAGATGCCTAAGGAGCACTTATAAACGGAGTCAGTGTGCCTGCATGTAATTTATTTAATCTGAGACATTAGGAATGTGTGTCTTAGGGGGCTGCATGGTCAGGAATACCCTGTCCCCAGCCGAGCCTCATGAATGCTAAAATGAAATATGTTGGTTTACGTTAGCTGAACACGTTCTTGCAATGCTGTTGTCAGATGTGATGTGATTTTTGTGTGATTAATTTGGAAATGGGAACCGGGACACCAGGGATCAGCTTCCAGATCTGCCTCTCATTCTCCCAGTAGAAACGTGGGTAGATCACTTAGCCTTTCATCTGCCTATCCATCTGTAAAATGTGTGTTATGTGTCCTATAGAACTGCAAATTTTGGTTTCTCTTTAAAGGCCTCTGAAAACCACTACCTAAAAAATAGAATCAGGTTCCAGAATCATGTACTACACAAGCCATTACAGCATGAGCTGCTCCAAGTACCTGGCTCTCTTGGGATTAAATTATGGGGGCTACTTTTAAACTCTCATTACAAAAGTACGTTTCACTCATACAAATCACCAAGGTGAGATATTGCTAAGAAATTTGTTACAAGTCAAAGCAGTTGTGTCTTTTCTGAGTTCTGTGGAGTTGTTTGGATTAGCTGCCTCAGAAATGAAGTGTGAACATGCTTCTGAGCTTGGTTGGGGAGAAAAGTAACTGGTAGTATTTCTTCTGGCACTAAGGGAGATGTGATTATTCATAGCTGGTTATGCTGTACTGTGACTCTCCCTTTCCTATTCTTATGCAAGGAGTGAATTCATTTAAAAATGCTGATACTTTTATCTTTGAGCTTCTGAATTAGTGGGTCAGCTCACACCTCAGAGCTATTATTCCATGTTCTCTGAAGACTTAGATATCTCTGCAGTGCTTACTCTTAGTTCTAATTTTGAAGCTTTGTTTGCAAGCATGGCTACTAACTACTGCTGGTTTTAGAAAGAGGAAAGCTGAAAATACGAAAAAATTCAAGAGAGATGGCAATATATCGCACAGCCACAGAGGAGCTTGATCTCATCCTTGCTTCTGTAGGCTTTGCTCTTTATCAGGTGTGTGCCGTCCATGCCCAGAGATAAATATTTAAGTTGTACTCCCCATGGGTACTTCAGAGAGCACTTCATTAGGAGTGGAAATACTCCTGCCTTATGCCCAGCATCACTGAAAGTTTGCCAGATGTTTCGTGTTTGTAGTCTTCTGTGTCAGACTCTTGTCTTGCTGGAGTAGCGTGGCAGAGGACTTCTAAAGACAGATGCATTAGCTAGGGAGTATTTTATTAAATGTTGGAGCCAGTCAGCTAGATTGACAGAAATCCCCTGGTCTTTGGGATAATTACTCTCAAGAGTAATATTTTGTGTCTGTGTTTGGGATAGGTGGGGTTTTGGACCTCTAGAAAGGTCACTTCAGTTAGAGTAGAAAAGGTTCGCAGGAACACAGCGCTGTGGACGCAACACTAATACTTACTTGTATTGTGGAAGGGAACCATGGGTGATGCTTTTCTGTCCTGTCAGGCACAGAACTTGCGTCCCTGTCCAGAAAAAGATGGAGACTGTGTCTCAAGATTGCTTCCTGCTCTGTGATGGATTCTGATACAGGGACAGCCCAGGTGGAGGATGAATTGGCAGGTGTTATGCTTACACTGGTACTTCACACACTGGAGCTGGAGCTGGTTAGCTCAGTTTTCTAGATTTTGTCTGTAGTGCTCTGTGAGGTTTTTCTATTTTTCTGACCCTAGAAGGTAGGCTTAGAAGAATGAGAGCTTAAGATAAAGGATTTTACAGAGCCTGGGAGATCAGAATGTAGTTTTGAGCAGAAAATGAGAGAAGAGGAATTGCCTTCTCTATATGGAGAATTAGATGTGCTGTCAGTTGGTCTACTGCACAAGCTCAGGTTCATGCTGTGGATATGCCTAAACCCTTTGGAGTTTGAAAAACGTGTCATGAGTATGGGGGTTAAACCACGACAGGGTTCTCTCTGTCCTGGTTTTGTTCAGCTGGTGGTGCGGGGAATGGGGTTTGGCCGCTGCAGCAAGTTGAAACTTCTAACAGTCTGAGGTGTGGGGTTTACGGCATTGCTGTTGTTTTGGGTAAGTGCCTGCGTGCACACTCTGAACCTCCACCAAATGGAAGTTAACTTATTTCACTTGCACGGAGTACTAATGTAGTCGGCATTGGCAGCCTGGTGAAAGAACGTGTGTGGGAGTCACCAAGCAGTAGAAACGGGCTGTATGTGAATCTGTGCTATAGCTCAGCTCAAGGCAAATCACGCAGGAAGGTTTGCTCTGAACCAGTCAGCCAAAGTCATTGTCGAAACCTGATGGGGGAGAAAGAGGAGGACGACCCCCAAAGCAGAGGTGCTTGTTGGCTGCTTGAATGGTGAGGCTCACTTCTGGCCCTTGATGGGCCATCTTTCTGGAATTTCCCACGCTGCTGTATCTCTGTGCTCGTAATGGGAAGGCTCGTGACTTGCTGATTGCTGCTGTGGCATCAGCCCTTGCCTGTTTTCTGAGCAAGCAGCTGCCTCAACTGGAAATTCAGCCACGGCACATGGTAATTAAGGGGCAGGGAAGAGCTGGGGGTGCTGTGGTGTGCGCCGCCTGCATGGACTCCTCTGGTGAAGCACACGTTTGTAATGCTGAGGAGCACTGGCTGGGGATCCTTGCTGATTTGCTGTTCCAATGCTCCTGAGCTAGTTTATAGTAAGTGATCTGTCAAAAGCACAGTACCTGCTGTTTCAGGACTTGTGTAGATAGGGCTGGCTGGCATGTCTCTAAGCCAGGTTGCACATCTTCGCTTTCTCAAGCTTCCTCTCTAGCCTGGCCAGATGGTTGGTAACGAAGTGCTTACGACTATGCCCTCAGAAGGAAGCGATGACTGAATCTAAACCGTGCTTCTCAAACCTTCCACTTACTTCTGTTCATGATTAATGCTTCAATATCCCCTGGCACCAAAGTTTCCAGTCTAGTAGCTGCCTCTGTTCTCAGTCTTCGTGCTGGTCAGTCAGGTTCCTAGTTCATGCATCAACCACATCCTAGTTCATGCATCAGCCGCATCCTGAACAGGATTTCTCTGCTAGAGTTGTGGGTCAGGCTCTGCCCAGGGGGTATTCTTGCTCACTCCTCTAGGCTCTGCTTCAAGTTCTTATATGGTTACTGCTGTCTCTGTGGTCTCATTGATGCTCTAACCAAGGAGCTATGCAATTGCTGTATGTATAGTGGATATAGCAGGCTTACTACATTCCTAGCAGAAAGGGACTTATTCAGCTTGTGAGAATTAAATTTACCCTTGATGTCCACAGTATTTCTACAGCAGGGCAGTATGTCAGCAGACTTGCTTGAAGATGAAATTAGCCGTACCCTGTGGTGGAGGATGCTGGTGGTGTTTGATGCAGGTACCACTGAGCCCATGAGGAAAGGGAATAAGCTGTCACTGACTGACTGCGCAACATGTTAACAGCTTAACTATTTTGCTTTTTTAACAAATAACTTCTACAGTGACATGGTGTAGACTATGCTGAATACCCCAGCTCTTGTGTTGGATACACGATCTCCACCCCACAGCCCCAAGCGGATTTGTCTTCCTAGTCAGTGTGGCATTTTGTTTTTTATTATGTTTTAACTCCTGCCTACATCGAGCCTTATTGACATTTGTGTTCATTTCCTTGGTGCCAGGAGAGCTCATGGCTTTCTCCTTTCCTCTAATCAGCACTGCGATGGCTTCATGGAGCTGGGAGTGAGATTTATCTCTTTAATAAGAATTGTCAGGATCCCACTGTGGAATGATTCAAGCAGTTTATGATTACAGATTGTTTTCCCCAAACAGTCTGGGTAGGGTTTGTAGCAAAAGGAGGACGCTGGGAAACAGAATTGGGCTGGACTTGCCTGCCATGGGAATTTAATCTCCTACGTGGAGTATTTTTCTGTGAGATTTTGTTCTTCAAAAGAAAACTTCAGCAACCAAGGCATCTGACGATGGTTCCCTCAGAGCTCAGTACAGCCTGACTATGAAGGGAAGGCTTGGAGATAGAGTAGACAAAGACTCTAGATCTTAAGATATGTTTTTTGCATTCCTCAAAAGATATCAGTCAAGGGGAGCAGGAGCCTACACACTTGATCTTTCCTTGATCATAGGTCATGTGGAAGCACAGACCGTGTTCTGTAGCTGCTGTCTGCTCTTGATCAGCTGCCTATGTCCTCCCTGATACTGGGGAGATTGCCATCACGTCATCTGCCTGGGGTGTCCTCAAACAGGTGAAGTAGGAAAGGCCACAGGACTCCATGGTTTATTGCAGTGCAAACTGAGGTTTTTTGTAGGAAAGGCCACAGGACTCCATGGTGAAATGTTTGGTTTATTGCAGTGCAAACTGAGGTTTTTCTTCCTGCCCCTGTGGGACTGGCTGGACTGTCTCTGCAGCGGTGAGAAAACACACTGCCTCTTTGGCTCCTCTTTTTCCCCCACCTGTATGGCTCGATAATAGCTGCTTCTCCAAGGCCTGGACACGCAAGTCTGTGAGGGATACCTGTGGCAGTGGCCAAGATTTTCTTGACAGAGTTCAGTGATTTTTGTCTGGTACTTCACCGAAAGTTACCGAAATAAAATGTTGGGCTTCCTCTGGAACAAAACCCATCTTCTGTCCCAGCACATGCGCACTGGATGATGCATCTACCCTGCATGCTTTCTCTTTGTGTTGTAGCTTGCCTTGTGCGCCGAAGTTGCTTCTGCTTTCTCCTGCAGGTGAAGGTCCAGAATATGGGGCCAGTGGGGAGGATGCCCTGAGCAGGATCCAAAGGCTGATGGCAGAAGGCGGCATGACTGCCGTGGTCCAGCGGGAGCAGAGCACCACCATGGCGTCCATGGGTGGCTTTGGCAACAACATCATTGTGAGCCACCGGATCCACCGCAGCTCTCAGACTGGTGCAGAGTCCGCTGGAGCTGAGGGCACGTCAGCACAGCAGTCCACCTCGCAGCAGCTGGCAGCTGAGCTGGAGGGACGGATCCTTTCAGAGTCTATGCAGCTGTCAGAGCATGGCCTGAGCCCGCGGACAGCCTCTAGCGGGAGTGAAGGACAAAGAGCTGGTGACCTGGACCTGCCAGAGCAGGCCCAGTCCTCCATGGACACTGAGGGACCAATTGAATACAGTGACCTAACTAATAATAACCATCTTCCTGACAGTACCAACTTCTATAGTAATGACAGCACCAGTGGGGAGTCGCGGAACAGGTAGAGATTGAGTTGTGTGTTGGTGCTACCCTTGTACTGCTCAGCAGAGACCTGTACCTCACAGCTGGCCAAGAGCTGGAAGAGTAGGGACGTGTGGCTCTGACAGGATGCTGGTGGTCCAGAGGGCTTCTCTATCCTGGGTAGGTGGGAAGGGATAAGGATTGCAAGGGAAGCCATGGGGAAGAAAGCATACTTAACTTCCAACATTCCCACTGCTGAAGAGTTAACAGGAATAGGAACCATACTGGCTGCACATCATGCAGATTTTGAAGCCCCATGGGATCCCCTCAGCTCAGCCCTAACCCTGCAATTCGGTCAGTGTCATCCTTTGTAAAGCTTCTTTCCTTTTCTCTTTCCTGCCCTTTTACGCCCAGGGGCTGATCAGCAGAGCGAAGAAAGGGAAGGGGGTCTGCAGCATCCTTCTGGAGACAGGCAGTCCTGCTGGGCAAACCTGGGCTTGATGCTCCAGCTCCGTTGCTGGAGTGGAGGAGTCTTCCAGGCCACAGTCCTGCTCCATGGCACAGCATGCTCCCCCCTCAGAATGTGGTGTTCTGAGACCCGTCCTGCCTGCACTGTGGTCTTTTCTGGGAAGAACTGGGCTTTGCCAAAACCTGCATGGCTCAGGATCTGCTCACAGGCGGGGATCTTTCCTTTTTAGAGAGTTAGTTTAGTACTTGGCAGGAACCTAAGCAGAGCTGCTGTATAGATGGGTAGAGGGACAGGGGCTACGGCTCCCTAGTCAGGATGCAGTTCACGCAAGGATGTTCTAAGCTGTGCCAATATTAACGTGAGTGAGCCATCCCAGTGGTTCCATGGTGCCAGGACTGAGCTGCACCTCCTTGGCAGGGGGCGGGAAGTGTCTTTCAGCTCCAGGCCAGGGTGTGAGGTATGGGTCTGTGATGTAAGGTGTTGCATGTGAAATCTTGACCTTGTACATGTAGTTTCTAGTGGAGAAATCAAGGCTCTGATATTTTGTTTTTAGTCTCAAATGTGATTTTCCTTTTCGTTTGTAACTCTCCATCCCTAGCAGGCTTGTGGAGGAAGGACGGGGAGAGCGTGAGTGCTAACGAGGGAAACACCAAAGATCAATGTCATTAAAATATGACAAACCCTTGTTTGACCTACTGTCTTCATTTGTGTGATGGGTGTCTCTGTGTTCGGCCTTGGGATAGGTACATCCAGCTCAGAAGCTCAAGGTAGCTTACAAATGTCAGATGATGACCACCCCCTTCCCAGGAGGAAAGCAGGCTCGGCCCAAAACTGGGATACAGGGAGGAGCATTTGGGAGTCTTGATTGCAAATCGCCTTTTAACCAGTCCGGAGATGAGCAGGCACTTCGGTGTTTCCCGTCATTCAAGTACTGCAGCAGGGAGAAAGAGGAGCGTTTCTCCTATCCCGCTTAAAAAGGTATGCGGAGATGCAGCACTGTCTATCTTAGGGAAGCAGAGAGTGGTCTGTCCGGCTGACCTCTCAAAGCAGAAAAGGGGTGCAGTATCCGGCTGTTCTCGATAAAGGAATGCATGCCCCGGCGTTACTACTCTGCGGTGAGGGATGCTTCCCCTGCTGTCTGAGCACCTGCTGGCAGCTGCTGCGCTCCTGCCCGGCTCCTCTAGACTCTGTGCTGCAAAGACATTACAATAAATAAGGCTGTCATTAGGCAGCACTCAAGCTCCCAGTCAGAAGAGTCTGTTAGAGAACATTAAGCAAATCTTCTCTTAAATCACAGCCTGGAAATGAACCTTAAATCAAATCAGCTGCTGCCAGGCCTCATTGCAGAGTGTTAATGAGGCTCTAAAACCTGCCCTGAGCCAACCACATCCCTGATCTGACAGGAGAGCAGCCTGAAAAACGGGATTCCCTGGTGTGGTGAGGAAGGTTTCATGCATCCCTGTATTGCCTCAGTGTGGGGTGGCACTTGGGAGCCGGAGGAGCTATGTCTCAGCTGAAGACTTGGGCAGACAGGGCGGTGCAGGTCTAGGCAGAGCTGTTTACTGCTCTGCTTGAAAACAAAGAAAAACAGAGCCTGGAAAAAACCTGCTTCTGCTTCAGCTCAGCCTGGCATCTCCTGTTCCCTCTCCCTGCACGATTCCTGGAAGAGTCTTGAGGCCCGTTCTTGGTAGATGTGTTGCAGAGCGTTCACAGATGGCCATTTCCATAACCAGAGCCAAACTACCTACGGAAAAATTTCCATCGCGGTTGGAGAAAGGTCTTCTGGGATGTCTCGCTTTAGCGTTGGCAGATTCTCAAAGACCTGGCATGCACCACTGCTGGGCACTCTGGCCTGGCTGCTGTGTGGAGGCCTGAAGCCTGCTCTGCTGAGGACTTCTCCTTAGTCCAGACCTGCCCCCATTGGAGACGATGGCAGAACGGGCAGTGAGCTCCAGTGGGAGCAGGAGCAAACTACTGTCTTTGACATCGACTCAGGACATCTCTGAAGCTCCAAAGCAGCTTTTCATTCCAGACTTGTAGGGGAAACCCTTCCAGATGAGGTAAGGATGGAGGCCTGATCAGAGCAGGCAGCTTTGATGTTTCTCCTAACCCGCTTTGTAGCTCTGGGCCAAAGGCTGGTCACAGCTGCAGCCTGACTCCTGTGTTCATACAGGCTTTGACCAGGAACAGTAGGCAGGGTAGGTGGGCTTAATCTTCAGATGCTGCCTTGGACATGCTTTGTAGATGACCTGCTGTGGCCACACAACTAAGCAGGTGCTCTCAGTGGTGGTGGGCTTGTATGTAGAGAGCGCAATGCTTTTTTTTGAGTTTCAGACCTAGAATCTGCCAAGCTCAGTTTCTGTCCCTGCCTGAGACCTGATGGAGGAGGTGGGTGGGTGGGAAGAGGGGTGACAGGAGGGAAAATTGAGCATACTTATGCCATACTTTTTCCCCCCCCTTCAAGGAATTTATTTCTTATGCCTTCCGTGCTTCTTGTGGAACAAAACTCTCTCTCTGCCTTGGACTACCCTGTTCTGGCCCAGCAGTCTTCCTTGGTTGGTTTGGGCAGGGCTGAGTTCACCTGTATCCTCGAGCAACACCCCTGAATCCACACGATGACCTGAGGCGTGGAGCCCTGCGCAGGACAGGAGGCGGTGGGATTGCCTGTGTCCAGGACAAGTGCAGCAGCGGCACCGGGCTCCTTCCCCAAACCTCGCAGCTTACCTGCTCGCTGCAGTGTGATAGCGCAGTGCTCGGGCAAAACACCCTGCCAGGAGCAACGTGGAAATTCAACAAGAGCTGCCTGAGGAAACCAAACCAGAGCTGTGCATGCTTGCTGGCCCAATTTAGGAGGCAAAATGAGAGCTTTGCTGCTTAGGAGCAGGAAATAATCTTAAAAACCAAAAGCTTTTCTCAGCCTTAGCCTGTCAGGAGCCTTTAAATGTGCTAACAAAATCCTGGGGAAAGGAGAAATATGGTGCAGAGAATTTTATTTAGCTTTCAAAAGGCTTTTGATAAAGTCCCTCACAAGAGGCTATTAAAGAAACTTAGTCACCTCAAGGGTGAGGGGTAAAGGAGCCCTGGAGATGGAAGCTGTTTGAGGTGGGAATTGGAGTCAAAAGTAACAGCCAATTTTTGGTGTGGAAAGAGGTTAATGGTGGGTTGATTGGAGTCAAAAGTAACAGCCAGTTCTTGGTGTGGAAAGAGGTTAATGGTGGGTTGGTCGGGTTTGGTAGGAGCCAGTGTTCTCTAAAAGCCCTAATGAGCTGGAAGAGGAGGGGAACAGCTGAAAATACAAGATTATTTAGGTTAGCTAAGAAGAGAAAAGGTACCAGAAGCCTGGGACAGCAGGAGGAGATAATGGTTGGAGCTTCTGTGCTGGAAGGGGGCTTTTGTATGAATCCTTCACTGCAGCTGGTGAATGCTCTGGCACCCCTGGGCCTGGGACCAAACCAGCTGGTGAGCACTGCCTGGAGCGGAGACCCGGGATCCCGCGAGGGGTTGCCGAAGCCCTGGCAGGTGGTACAGCAAAGTGGGGAGACCAGCTTGTCACCGTGAGTCCTGCGTTTTCTGCCCTCTCTCCTTTGCTGGCCTCTTGCTCCATCTCCAGCACCTCCATTTGACTCCCGCTGGAAGTCCCACACCATATCCACATGTGGCTGGTGTGGGGCGTCCGTGGGGTGACCCTACAGCTGGGTGGTGCTGGGACCCCAGCTCTACATGACAGCCAGGAGCTGCGCTGGGCAGGGACCAGGTCACAGCTGGGTGCTCGGGGAGTCTCTCTCCCCCGGCGTTACCGGTGCTGAAGCCGAGCCCCATAGCCGGCCCCTCTGCCCGCCGCTCCGGCTGCTGGCCGGGGGGCCGCTGGCCT